ACCTGAATGTGTGCTTGTTTGGAGGAGGTACACTGACAGTGAGAGGAGTGGAAGCCACAGCAGAAGGTTAGTGGGGACCTCAAAAGGGCCCTGAGCCAGGGAGAATCTTAGAACCTGGAAGATTAATGTGTTGGGTGTACATAAATGGATGCCAGAGGCTGATTTCAAGTTCTTCCTTTATTCTATCTACATTATTGAAATGGAGTTTCTCACTGAAACCAGGACTTAACCATTTCAGCTAGACTGACTAGCCAGTCATCCCCTGAGATCTACCTGTCTGTGTGTGTCCCCACCCTCACCCTGAATCCTGGGGTTATATGAGTATACCACCATGGTCAGCTTTTCTGTGGGTTTGGGGGTTCCAAATTCAGGTCCTTGTGCTTGCAGAGCAATCCCTTTACCCACTTGAGCCACCTCCCGTCCATTAAATTTTGGTTTGGTGGTTTGTTTTTTTCTAAGACAGGGTTTCTCTGTGTAATAGCCCTGGCTGTCCTGGAACTCTTTGTACCAGGCTGGCCTCAAGCTCCCAGAGATCCAATTGCCCCTACCTTCCTAGTGCTAGGATTTAAGGTGTGTGCCACCATACCTGGCTAGTGTGAAGACTGGAGGAAGATGTCAGGTGTTGTGTTTTTTCTCCTTATTTCTGTGAAGCAGGGGCATGCTGGACAGAGCTCCCTTGTTTTTGTTTTGTATTTTAATTTTTTATGTTGTATACATGCGCTATAGTGTACACATGGACGTCAGGGGACAATGGTGAGAGTTAGTTCTCCCTTACATGTGGGTTCCTCGGATCAAACTCTCAACCATCAGCCTTGCCTGTAAGCAGCTTTACCCGCTGAGCCACACCACCAGTCTGGGTAAGCTGGAGGCCATAAGCCCTCCATCCTCCTGTCTCTCCTACTCCTAGCATTGAGGTTACAGGAGCATACAGCCACACCCAGCTTTTATGGGGTCTTCATGCTTACACAGAAAGTACTGTTACCCACAAAGAAGGAGGGTGTCACTCTGAGCCCTGACTGGCCTGGAACTCATTGTGTTGGCCAGGCCTGCATAGAACTTGGAGCATCTCTGAATTCAAACAGGTTCTAGGATTAAGATACGGGCACCTACTTAACCTGAACAAATAATCTTAATTTTTGGCAGTTGTAGGTTTTGGGTAGCAATAATGAGGTTCATTTTCTCATTCAACAGTTGTTTATTGACAGCCTTCAGTCCTTGAGTCATTATCCTGAGCCTGTGCCAAAACGGAATTCCCACTACTGCCTCTGGCCTTTCGCAAGTGAATCCTTAAAGGTGGGAAAGGTACTTTGATGCAGGATTTTAGGTGACCAGAGAAGAGGAAATGACACTGGAACACACAGGAACTGAGGTGGGAGAGGTGGTCAGAATGAAGTGCTGGCAGCAGCAAAGGTCAGGCCCTAGCCTATGTTCACACAAGGGAAATGAGATCAGGCCTGTGTGAGTTCAGAGCCCAGCAGAGGTATGCCTTTCCCCTAGGGAGCCCCAAGTCCTACCTGCTAGTATTAGCCCCTATTTAACTGTGGCCTATATCCCAGAGACAAAGAATCCAAGATAAGTTCACTTCTGTTGTCTGTCTAGCCCTTGCTGGCTTTGGTCTAGCCTCTCACAGATTCACTCTCTCTCTCTAAAGCCAGGATTCAGGCCTCTGTGTTCTTCAGCCAGACTGTGGCCCTTTGTAGCACTGAGAGGAAGGCTAAAACTCTGTTTCCTGACTAGATTTCTGGCTGTAGTAGATTCCTTGTCTCTTGGGAGGCAACACATTTTTGCAACACCACACATACTAACTCAGCTAGTATCTGTTCCACCACACTGGTGAGGACAAGGACACTGTCTGGTTCTGAGTTGCCCCCTCCCTGTAAGAGGTAGGTTTTTTCTTGAACATTTCGGGCAAATTAGAGCTACCTTCACTGTGCTGGTCTTGATATAAACCCCACCACCACCACCACTGAAACTTGCTTCCCATTCCCGAAACCCTACTAAGTCAGCCCTGTCTTCTGGTCTCTGGTGGGATTGGCTTTAATAATTGCCCTGTATGTTAATCTTGTTACTGAATCCTCCATCTCTCCATGCTGGTCACAGACCCAGTAGTTGGGGACTTACAGATCTAGTCTAGTTCCCTCTTACCTAGATTCAGTAGGACCATGTTGGGCCATGCAGAGCCTGGCTTCTGTGATGTAGCCTATGTCATCATTCCTTTTCTGCAAGGTGACTGCTTCACAGTCGGTGAATGACAGAGCAGGATTTGAACTTGGGCTTGTCTGGTTCATGCTGCTTCTTGGTCTTAGTACCCTTACCAAGATAGGATAACTTTAGACAAGCAGGAGAAGGGCTCTTGCCCTCAGTCACAGTGGTGCGTCTATCCCAGAGTGATAATATGGGGTGGGACACTTTGAGTTTGCCGAGGGCTGTCAGAATATGATGTGCTTGTTGCCAGTCGGAAGCACCAAATAGATGAGGACCCTGGAGAGCCCAGAAAGCAAACTCCTGTTCCTAAAACCAGGTCTCTGCCTTCATTGTAGGCCCTTCCTACCCTAGCAGTAGGATCTGGGCTTCGATATGCCTGCGGAGGCATGGATAATGATACTTGGGACTAGGTTCAAATATAGGTTAAATATCATTTATTTCTGGGAGAAGTCACACAAGAAGCAGATGGCCACCACAGGTTCCCGCTCTAAGGATCCGCACAGGCTGCTCCCTGTGCGGGAGCAGACACAAGAGAGAGCCACATGCCCAGACATCAAACCTAAACTCACTCCCCCATCATATCCTCACCGCTGACCATGCCCAAGTGGGCGTGGTCAGCACTACAGGTACTGGCAGGGTGGATATCTCAGTACATATGCCTATGTCTCTGTGCCCAGCTGGTAGGGTCCCAAGGCCTGGGAAACAGTGAGGTAAGCTGCACAGTAGCAGTTGCCACTGAGCAGTGCTAGCTTTGGGCACATCCTCTAGCCTTTCTGAACTGCATGTACCTGTCTGTAAAGTGGGTATGATTGATATCCCCATCTTACAGAGCCACAAAGCTAAGTAGCTACATGAATTATCCAACTTTAGTCTGTCAGCCTGTGTGGTAGGGCCTGCCCTTTTCATGCATTGGGGAGAGCAGAGGAGATTAGGACACGTGTGCACGCACACATACAGACACACACGGCCTGAGCCCTTCTCTCGCCTCTCTCTAGGTCTTCTAGCCTAGAGATGTAACTGTCCCCCATGTCCTCAGTGCTCTCCCCTTAATTTAGTGACAAAGATTGTAGGTGAGTGTATGAGGAAGTCCCTGTTTCCTCCAGAGGTCTGATCGAAACTGGGCAGTTTGGGAGTGTTTGGAAGTGAGAACTCCTGTCTGGAAACACCAGACACATCACCTCCACTGTGTGCAGGGTAGTTGCCAGACTCTTGACCATTTCTGCTGTAGCCTCTGCTACTTTAGCACCATGCATCTTCAGTTGTAATTTACTTGATTGCAGGTTTATGTGAAAAGCAAGAAATAATACAGAAGGTAACCTGTATTGCCCTGTAGCCAGTTCCCAGGAATCTCAAAAACTGTAGAACAGCATCACACCAGGATGCTGGCAAAGACACAGACCACCCACCCATCTTACTTGGGTTTCCCTATTAGTGTGTACACACTGTGCGCGTTCAATGAGTGCAGTTTCTTGTCAAATGCAAGTGCCTATAATGATGCTATGAGCATGTCGACACTGAGTAATTCCAACACTGCACCTGTAAGAGTTCATTCTGCTGACTTCCGTCTTATCTTCCCCATTGTCTTCCCGAGTATACCCTTAGCCCTGGCAGTTACTAATCTGTTTCATTTTTTAAAAATCTTCTCATTTCAAGAATGGTATAAAAAGTCATTCACTGTGAAACTTTGGGATTGCTTTACCCACGAGGTGCTAGTGATGTGACATTCATTCAAGTCATCGTGTGGCTTCGTTTGTTTCTTCTCACTCCCTTGTAGGACTCCATAGTGTAGACGGCCACTAGTCAATCACTCAGCTACTTGTTTTCAGTTTCTGGGTTTTACAAATAGAGTTGCCTGAACATGCATGTTTCTTTCTGTGTGCTACTTGCCTGATTATTCTTGCTGAGTTGTGTGATAATTGCATGTTTAATTTTATAAGAAAATGACAGTCCTTCTTCCAAGGTGGTTGTATGTGTCACTATTTCCCCCACAGCCTTAGTGTTTGATTGTGTCACTTTCTCATAGCCATTCTATGAGGTTATATAGTGTTGATCTCTACTGGCAAATAGAGGACTTCCTCCTGTGTCCCTTGTCCAGCCTCTGTGGCACTGGGCCTTATTTTGTGGACTGTCGTTGAGTTGACCATCTCTATGATGAGTGGCTCCTGCTCCCAGGTAGGGGCTTACTTGGGTCCCTATAGGAGAGGACATCTAAGACCTGGGTAGGGGCTTGCTTTGGTGAGCCCTTGCTGCACGCCAACCTCAAGTGACTCAGACCTGTGGCAGTGTCCCTGAATCTTAGCAGGGACAGAGAGAAGTATCAAGCATGGTGGAGTCTTGGGAGCAGCAGAATGCTGTGTGGGGTCTTTGTAGGCGGAGTAAGTGGGTGAGAATGGCTAAGTGTATGTATTATTTTGACCAAATGGGGCAAAATGTTTACACAGAGGGAGTGGGGAGGGAAAGTAGGAAAAAGGCTAAGAAAGCACAGGACCCAAGGGTCACAGAGTGACCTGTGGAAGGCAAGATAAGTTTCTCTGTTGTTACTGCCTCCTTCTGACACTGGTCATGCTTTGCTACAGCCTTGTGGAAAGCGTCTTTCAAGTAACATGGCTTCCCTACTAAATTTGGCCTTGCAAGAAGGTAAACAGGACCTATGTGCCTGTGTTGGTCATTACTATGTATGACTCTCATTCTCTTGCATCAGAATTTGCCCAAGTCAGGCAGGGCCTTGGCCCAGAAGGGGCCCTTAAGGGTTAGAGGCTTCACCTTCACCTTGACCTCCTGTCACCCATCTGCAGGTTCATCATGCCTAGTGGCATATAAGAAGACCCCACCACCGGTCCCTCCACGTACTACATCAAAGCCGTTCATCTCAGTCACCGTCCAGAGCAGTACTGAGTCTGCACAGGACACCTACCTGGACAGTCAGGACCACAAGAGTGAAGTGACGAGCCAGTCAGGCTTGAGCAACTCATCAGACAGCCTGGACAGCAGTACCCGACCGCCCAGTGTGACACGTGGTGGAATCAGCCCAGGCCCTGAAGCTCCGGAGCCACCCCCTAAGCATGCAGCTCTGAAGAGTGAACAAGGGACACTGACGAGCTCTGAGTCCCATTCCGAGGCCATCCCCAAAAGGAAACTGTCATCAATAGGAATACAAGTAGGGGTCCCTTTTGCACTGTCTTCGTCCACTCCGTGCACCGGCCTGCGTGTAATTACATCTAGTGGAGGCCCACTAGGTCTCCCGGGAAGAGGTGTTTTGTCTGTCTATTCTGGGGCATCTGCCCCAAGTGGCTGAACCAAATTCTGCCTGTAGCCACACTCGCTTGTGTCCAGCCACCCCTGCTGCGGGTCCATAGCTGTGGACATGTTTCTGATCCTCCAGTGGGTTGTCCCAGTGAATGTAGTTACACTCAGCCAGCAAGCTCCTGTACACTGTTTGCTGTCCACTGTCTGTCTGTCCACTCCATCCTTTGCCCTGCCAGACAACCCATGGGAGGTGGGGCTGGCTTAACAGTTCTCTAATCCAAGGTCAGCTCGATATGGAATGGCCCCGCTTGGCAGCGGGAGCATCGTGGAACATAGACGCTGATGGGCTAGAAGCCTGGGACCAGGGCTCTTGAACCATGGGGGTTGTTCAAGGGGAACTTGACCCAGAGCCCACTCAGGCCTTGGGGACAGGTAGGTTGTGTAAAGCACCAGACCCATGGTGAAGTGAGAAGTGTGATGGCAGTCTCTATGTCCCCCTTCATAGAAAAAGGGTCCAAATAGGCAGGGCCCTGTGGCCCAAGCCCCAAGTTCCATCTAGAAGCCAAATCCATTGTATACTTACATCCATGGTCTCCAGCATACCCTCCACTGCCTCACATCACCCAGTGTCAGATGTCTTTGTTAGCTGAGTAAGGCACAAAGCCTCAGCCTTTCAGTTTTCAAGAATTGATACAAATCCAGAGAGTCCTCTGCCAGCTGGCTGGACCTCCAGACTACAGTAGAAGGCAATGAGAGAGCCAAGGCCAGCTGTAGTGGAAGAAGATGAGGGCAGGGGTGTGGGGAGAGGGTAGAGGGGAGGTTTAGAGCAAGCGTGGGGTGTGTTGCAGCAGCATCGGGGCTACAGGATGTCTCTCTCCTCAACAGCAGTGGTGAGTGAGTGTGATCAGGGTGACAACAAAACATTAGAATGTAGGAGGAGCAAGGGTGCAGGGGAGAGGGGACAGACAGAAAACGTAGGCAGTCCCTTGTCTTTGCCTGGGCTCCCAAGAGACAGCTCTGGCCTTCCATCCTCTCCCCACCCCACATACAGGTTTCTGCATGAGTCATCACACTTGCCGCACCCTTACAGCCTCTCTAGGTGTGACGTGTGAACATAAGAAGTTGCCCATTATTTGGCCCTTGGTTCTGACCATTTTGTCTTTGTTGGGGAAGACCACCTCCTTGTTGGCCAAACCAGATTCTCTTCCCTTCTTAGAAAGTCAGGACTAGCTTTGGTTCGTCTATTGAGAATGCGACACCAGGGAAGGAACTCTGGCTCTTAGTGCTTCCTCAGCTTTCTCTTTCCTTGGCTTCATCCCTGCTCTCATCACAGTCTTTAGAGACAGCTGTGCTTCCCAAGCTGGCTCTTGCCAAAGAAAGTGTGACTTTATTCCTATCCCAGAAAGTTTCTCTGGCCCCTGCACCTAGAATCCCAGCTCCTGAGGGAGGCTGTCATCCCACCCTGACACCTCAAGCCCCAGGTCAAGGGTGAGCTCCCCCTTGGATTGGAGCCGTAAGGGGTAGGCTTTTAGCTGGCTGCTCCATGACTGGGGCCAGGGCATGGCTGCTGCCATATTTCCTCTCCTTGACAAAGCAAGTGTGACAAGTCTAGGGACAGGATCCCATAGCATCACTGGCTCTGGGTTCTGGGTTTGAGAACTGCTGTCTGTGATTGGGACTGAGTATAGGTGTCCACCAGTTCCCCTTCCAGGCCGCACCAGGGTTAGGGGGTCATCTTTGCCTCCAGACAGCCCTTGGCTTCAACTACACCAGATAACGGCTGTGGCTTTGTGTGTGTTCTCTCCCGTCGTCCTTTTTTCTCTCTGATCGTGTAAAGGAGAGGACTAGAAGGAGCGGTTCCCACCTCTCGGAGGACAACGGACCCAAAGCGATCGATGTGATGGCGCCCTCCTCAGAGTAGGGAAAGCCAGTCATCTCCATCCCCTCCTGCCTCTGCGAGAATGAGCAGTGCCCGGCTTAACCTGGCCCTACTTGGGCCCACGTGCAGTGTCTGCATGCCTTGTGTCCGTCTGTCCTCATGTCTGTTTGCGCGTCGTCCCACTAATGTGAATTTCAGCAGCAAGTGTGGTGTTTGTTTTTATTCTTGTCTTTGTCTCCGTGCCGTTGCTGTCGTTGTCCTTCAATAAGGTTGACTGCATTCAGCCAGTGCCAAAAGAGGAGCCCAGTCCCGCTACCAAATTCCAGTCCATCGGGGTTCAGGTAGAGGACGACTGGCGGTAAGTTGGACAGAGGTGTGGTGGCTGCTATTCCCCTCTCCTCTCCCTCCCTCCGCCCTCACCTCTCCTGTTCTCCCTAACCCACTTCTCCTTGCTGGATTTCTAATAACCAAGCTGGGTGTGGGTGCGGGTGGTGGCTCAGGTATGGGGGCTGGGCAGGGCAGGCGGGTTGGACACGTGAGCGTTTGCTCTGAGACCAGTCACCCCACTGGGAGCGAGGCTGGGCTTGGCTGTAGCCCCCAGCTCCCCTATGTTGGTGGTCTTCCTGGCCCCACTGCAGTAAACAGACAACCTTATGACCTTGTCCTTGTGTGTGTGCGCGTGTGGGCATGGGCAGGGTGGGCAAGGGCTGAGCAGAGAATGAGCGGGCGCTGTGGGACCTGCTTCAGGCGCATGGTGAGCAGATGGTGCATCCTTTTCTCTGTCTCCCCGTGTGTCCAGCTCAGGTGGCCGCTGGTTTCTGGCCTTATTGGTGACTCACTCCTTCTTTCCCCACCCTCCCCCCACAGAAGCAGTGCCCCCTCTCACAGCATGTCCTCCCGTCGGGACACTGACTCCGATACCCAGGATGCCAATGACTCCAGCTGTAAGTCATCTGAGAGGAGTCTCCCAGACTGTACCCCGCACCCCAATTCCATCAGCATTGATGCTGGCCCCCGACAGGCCCCCAAGATTGCCCAGATCAAGCGCAACCTCTCCTATGGAGACAACAGCGACCCTGCCCTGGAGGCGTCTTCGCTGCCCCCACCTGACCCTTGGCTGGAGACCTCCTCCAGCTCCCCAGCAGAGCCAGCCCAGCCTGGGGCCTGCCGCAGAGATGGCTACTGGTTCCTGAAGCTCCTTCAAGCAGAAACGGAGAGACTGGAAGGCTGGTGCTGCCAGATGGACAAGGAGACCAAAGAGAACAACCTCTCTGAAGAAGGTGGGTCTTGCAAGGGTATCTGGTGTCACACCAGCCCTGGGGCCTTTCAGGGTTCTTGGGCTGTTTTGTGAGCTTGCCTTAGTGCTCATTCTTGCCACCTGGCTAACCCCTCTTCCCGTGTGCGTTATGATAGTAGCAGCCTTTTGTGCAGGCTGTGGGCTTAGCCACAGGGTCCCAGCCCAGCATCTGTTCCTGATCTTCATCTCCAGCTGCATAAGCACCTTGTGAGGACTGATTGTGGTAGTTAGTGGGAAGGCCTGAGGAAGTGCTGGACACAAAGCTGTTGCCCCCATTACCTCCCCAGCTCTTATATTGAGTGCTTATTGCTCACCAGGTACAGATCTGACTCTGCCTCAGCAGTAGGGAACTATGAATGCAGGACAATTTCTGCTTTTTCACTCAGTTTCTGTCAATACTATGCACACTTAAAAAGAAAGAAGCTGGGCTGGAGAGATGGCTCAGTGGTTAAGAGCACCGACTGCTCTTCCAGAGGTCCTGAGTTCAATTCCCAGCAACCACATGGTGGCTCACAACCATCTGTTATAAGATCTGGTACCCTCTTCTGGTGTGCAGATATACATGGAAGCAGAATGTTGTATACAAATAAACAAATAAAATCTTAAAAAAAAAAAAAGAAAAAAGAAAAGAAAAGAAAGAAGCTAGCAGATAACCTCTGGCCGGGCTGTGGTAGTGTGCACCTTTAATCCCAGCAGGTGGATATCTGTGAGTTCAAGGCCAGCCTGGTCTACAGAGCGAGTTCCAGGATAGCCAGGGCTACCCAGAGAAACGCTGTCTCAAAAAAAAAAAGAAAGAAAAGAAAAGAAAGAAAGAAATGACCTGGCAAGGACTACCTGCAGTAGTGCTGGCCTGGCATGCAGGAGGCCCTGGGTTCATCCACCAGCACTACAGAAACAGAAGGAGGTATGGAGAAGGACTGGTATGCAGGGAGCCTGACCAAGTTCTGTCAGAGCCCAGATTCCCAATTGGTTCCTCTACAACTAAAGGTCCAGGAAGGACAGACCCTCAGAGAGCAGGTAGGATGTCTCAGTGATCCTAATGATACACTCTGAGGACACCTTTGATCATTCAGAAGGTGCTGGTAGAGTCGAGTCTGTTTTTACTGCCCTTTGGGCCTGTTCCCAGCTTTGATGTCACACCCACCTTGGGGCAGGGAACTCTTGAGGTGTGTACCTGATACATTTAATAAGGATGTATTTAAAACAATCAAACTAGTGACAGAGATCAGAGAGCACCGAGTGTCTGACAAAAGGCAGCCCGCCAGTGCCCCAGTGGCTGCCAGTACTTCAGTGATCTGTTCTATATTCACTTGCTTGTTTCTTCTTTGCAGTGTGATTGACTTCTGTTTCCTCTCTAAAATGAAGTCACTAAGTACTGATTTCTGAGTGTTTCCTATTTTTTCTGGTTCCCTTGTCTTGCTTGGGACTGGCCATGTTCTCTGGATATTTCCAGCTGCCGGCCTTGTCCTGTTTGTCAGCAATGCCTTTGGCCTTTCTTTCCCCATGGACACTTTGCTGTGACCACATGCTGGCTGCATGGTCTTTGTCTCACTTTTCTGAACTAAATTTTATTCCAAGAGAACTTTCTTCTAGATGCTTAGCATGTCCTTCAGACCTCACAGTTTAGGTATAAAGGTGAAGCTAATACATTGTGTGTGTGTGTGTAACAATGCAGAAATGAAAGTGATGGCTAAGATCCTTTCCTCTCAGAACCTTATAGGTGTTGTGTAGTGTTTCCATTGCTTGTGATGAAAAGTTCAAAGCCATTCTGTTTCTCTGCCCTTGGGTTTTATCCCCGAAAGCTCTTAGGATCTTAACTTTCTGGTGAAACCTCTTGGCAATATGCATGAGATAGGTCTTTATTAATTTATTTTGCTAATAGTTAATGGGGCATTGCCTAACTTGGAGAGTCAGTCTTTGACTCCGCAGAACTAGTCTTATATTAATTAAAACAAACAAACAGGAATAGCCAGGAATGGTGACACACAGTAATCACAGTAATCCCTATGGAGGCAGAGGGCCACCATAGATTTGAGGCTAGCCTGGGCTGCTATTGTAGTTTCTTTTTCTATTGGCTATGGTGAAATACTCTGACAAGGTCTGACAAGATGGCTCACCAGGTAATGGTGCTTTCCACTGATTCTAACAACCCGAGTTTAATCTACCCACATGGTAGAAGGAAAGAACTTACTCCTACAAGTTGCCCTCTGATTGCCACTACAGCTGGCTTGAGCACTCCTTTTATTTATTTTCATAGACATTTTTATTATTATATAACATATTAGTGAATATACCACATACCATTCTCTCAAGTGGCAAAGATGTGTGAGATAAGATTTCTCCTGGCTTCTGAGAACTGAAATGGTCAGTAGAGAGGAACAATGTATAGTGTTGTTCTGTGGTGGGATCTTGCTTTTCAGCACTGGGCCATTTGTGTCTCTGTTATGTACAAAATGGGACCAAGGTGTAGGCTTTGTGTGCTCATGTGAAATGTCCACAGGTTGCTGGCGTATTGTGATCCTGCCAGGGAGAGTGCTACTCTGCAATCATGGCCATCTGGAAGAGAAGATTCGAGCATTCTGGCAAACATAAGGCAGCTCCATTTTGGGTTGGAAATATATGCTTAAGGGTCTCTGTGTCACCCACTCACTGCCGCTGCCATCTCAGTATATCAAGGGCCTTTTCATACTGGCCCAAAAATGATGTTTAAAAAAAGATCCCGTGGCTGGGCGTTGGTGGTGCACACCTTTAATCCCAGCACTCAGGAGGCAGAGGCAGGTGGATCTCTGTGAGTTCGAGGTCAGCCTGGTCTCCAGAGTGAGTGCCAGGATAGGCTCCAGAGCTACACAGAGAAACCCTGTCTCAAAAAACAAAAACAAAACAAACAAAAAAAATCCTGTGTCTTTAAAACATGCCTCTAGGCATCCTAGCTTTTTTTCTGCAAGCCTGCCATCTTGCCTCTCCCAATACTTTTATGTGATAGCTGTGATATTTCACTGTGGTTTGCGTGTATTTCCATAGTGACTAGTATTGTTGATAATCTCTTCATAGGTGCTTACTGGTTTGTTTGTTTGTTTGTTTTTTAAGACCAGGCTATCTTTGAACTCACAGAGATCAAGAGAGATCCACCTGCCTCTGCCTCCCAAGTGTTGTGATTGTAGACGTGAAGCCACCGCATCCGACCTGCTGGCATTCGTATCTTAAGACTGTCTGTCATATGTCTGTATGGCTAACCAGCACACTCATTTCTTCATAAGATTTTCCCTTAATGATTGCAGCATTTCCTTTCTTTCTGAGACATTTATACGTATTTACTTTCCTATGTTCCTGCATTCCTTTATTTCTTTAAGTTCCTTTTTTTCTACTTCTCTTTAGGATTGGAGGCTTTCCTGGACTGTCCAGTGGACTTTAGTTAGTTTATTCCTATTTAAAAGTGACACCTTGATGGTGAGAGCAAGAGAATGCTGCTGTTATTGACCTTGTAGTAGTATTTCATTCCATCAAGAAATTTAAAGAAAAGTGGACTGGGGTATAGCTTAGTAATAGAGCACTTGCTCAGCCTGAATGACCCTTGATTCCCAGCACATACAGACAAAAAAGAAAAGAAAAAAGGGGAACCTACCTTTTAGAGTTTACACAAGCACATTATATGAGTAGAAATATCAAACTAATAAAATAGCAAAAATCACATTTATGTAACAGTTGTGTTGGTAATATCAATGAAGAAATAATTATAGCTGGGTGTTGGTGGTGCACGCCTTTAGTCCCAGCACTGGGGAGGCAGAAGCAGGTGGATCTAGGTGAGTTTGAGACCAGCCTGGTCTTCAAGAGCGAGTTCCAGGACAGCCTTCAAAGCCACAGAGAAACACCCTGTCTCGAAACCCCCCCACACACACAAAAAAAATAATAATTATAAGCACCAGAATAAGACTTCTCTTAATAACATGATGAAATATATTTTGAATAATGTTGCCATTAATGTTCATCTGGATACTTGTTTTCACTTTTTAGTATATCCCTGGGGCAGAATTATAACATCAGACTTGCCCCTGTGTGTGCATGTGGTGAGCTGCAGGTGGACTTACCCTGTGTGCACACACAGAGGTCGGGTTATGTTGGGCTGTCCCCTCCATTACTTCACCTGTTTTTTAAAATTACAACTATTTATGCATGGGGAAGGGGACATGTGCCAAAGGGCAACTTGAAGGAGTGGGCTCAGCTCCCACCTCATGGGTCCTGGGGATTGAACTCATGTCAGCAGTCTAGGAAGCAAAGCACCTTCAACAACTGAACCATCTCACCAGCTCACTAATTCTGTTTTGAGACAGGATCTGACAGCAGCCCAGACTGATCACATCCTGAGTGTTGAGATTAAAGATGAGCAACATCACACCGGGCTCCTTTGCCCATTTTTGCAATGACTCTTAGGGTTTCAAAGGCAACTTGGGGAGGAAAGAGTGTATTTTAGCTTACAGTGCTCTCTCTCCAGTCCCAGGACCCAGGTATGATTCCCAAAACCCACATGACTGCTCACAGCCATCTGTAACCCCAGTTCCAGAGGATCTGATGCCCTCTGATTTCTACATGTTCCTGGATGCACATGGTACACATCCAACTCAGTCACACACACATGAATTTTTAAAATTATATTATAATTACAAAGGAAATCAATTAGACTAATTGCAGTTGTCAAGACTGGTACAAGCCTGTAATTCTTTCACCCGGGAGGCTGAGGCAGAAGGATCAGGAATTTAAGGCCAGGCTCCACTGTATAGCAAGTTCAAGGCCAGCCTGGGCTACATAAGACCTTGTCTCAAAACAAAACCCAACCATTGTTATTGAGACCCAGTGGTGTTATCTTAACACTTGCACTTGTGTTTCTTTCATTTTGCTGATCTGAACTGCTCAGTAGTGTGTACCCTTCTTGGTCCGTACCACTAGTAAGCAGTGGATTTTCTAGTTTTCTGCTCTCACTGTTGTTTCTAACAACATGATTAAGACATACTTGATTGGGCTGGAGAAATGGCCCAGAGGTTAAGAGTACTGGTTGCTCTTCCAGAGGTCCTGAGTTCAATTCCCAGCAACCACATGGTGGCTCACAACCATCTATAATGAGATCTGGTGCCCTCTTCTGGCCTGCAGGAATACATGGAGGCAGAACACTGTATACATAATATTTTTTAAAAAGACATAATTGAACCCAGGGTATCATGCTTGCTAAGCACACACCATTGAGCCATTCTTGAAACTGTGAGATATATTTTACACACAAAATTCACCCTTTTATCATACAAAATTCATGGAGCCTGAGCTTATTCACAAGGTTGTCTAGATGATGACATCTAATGTTTTAATCATCCCCTAAAGAAACCTCTATCTGTTTAGCCACTACTTTTGTGACAAGGTCTTACTGAATAGTCCAGGCAAGCCTTGAACTTGTGATCACGCCTCAGCCTCCCAAGTAAACATCATAGGTAGAGACTGGAGAGACGCTCGAAGGTTAAGAGCATTAACTACTCTACCCAGAGGACCTGGGGTCAGTCTCTAGCACTTACATAGTGGCTTCTTGTTTTATTATGGGTGTTTTGAAGTCAGGATTTCTCTGTATAGCCCTGGCTGTCTTGGAACTTGCTCTGTAGAGCAGGCTGGCATAGAACTCAAGAGATCTGCCTGCCTCTGCTTCCAATTTCATCCATTTGTTTTAAACAGTGTTGCTGTGTGCCCCCAGGATAGCTTCTGGTTCTCTATCCAGAAGTGCTAGATAGCACCCTCTAGCTTTTCTTGCTTTCTAACTAAAAGGTACTTAGTGTTGAGTGTGTGTGTGTGTGTGATGGGAGGGTATGGAGATCAGAGGGCACTTGGTGGAGTCCACTCTCCTTCCATTTACACAGGTTCCAGGGATGGAACTAAGGTCATTAGGCATATGACAAGTGTTTGCCCACTGAGCCATATCAACAGTCCCTCTATTTCTTCTAGAGTCCATGGTAGTTTACATTTCTTTGGAAAGTCTTCCCATTTAAGCTGCTTCTACTTTATTGCCGTCACATTTCCTTAGAAATGGGGATGAGGTTCTGGCTGCAGCAGATAACATGACCACCTGTGTCTGCTTCCAAGTCCTGGAATTAACAATGTGAGCCACCATGCACAGCTCTCTGCTGACATCTATAAGACAAGGTCTCTCATCGCCCAGGATGGCCTCAAACTCTTGACATTTGCCTCTATCTCCTAAATGCTGGAATTACCAGCACTGCCCTCATCTGCTTACATTTTCCTTAATAAGGATGTGTTAGCCAGGTGGTAGTGGTGGCACATGTCTTTAATCCAAGGCAGAGGAAGGTGAGTTCGAGGCCTGGTGAGTCTGGTCTACAGAGCAAATTCCAGGACAGCCAAGTCTGCATGGAGAAACCCTGTCTTAAAAAACCCCAAAACAACAACAACAAAAAAACCCAATGGGTTAATATATAAATAAAAACACTTTATGTGTGTATATGATATGTACACACACGTATACGTGAGCTCCAATTTCCTTTCCACCCTAGCACAGCCCATGTTCTGTTAACAATGAATATACATGCACGTGTATACACATGACCAGAGCCCCACCTTCCATCCTCCATGCCTGGCACCTGTCCAGCCCTGCCGTGTATGCTGAGCTACTTCCTCGGTCTCTCAGTCCTAGGAAAAGTCCTCAGTGCTGTGGGCAGTGCCCAGCTCCTGATGTCCCAGAAATTCCAGCAGTTCCGAGGCCTCTGTGAGCAGAACTTGGTGAGTGACTCTACCTCCACTACAGGGCTGCCCTGCCCAGAGCTATCCAGAGAGCCCCTTGTAGCCTGTGACCTCTACACAGAGGAGGTGCTGCCCCCTCATGGCACTATATCGGTGGTGGCAGAATACACCATGCCCAACACAGGAAGGGCTGAGGCAGTCCTCCAGAAATAGAGGTATAAAACATGAGAATATAAGTCAGTTGGCCCTGACTTTCTTATATTTAGTCCATTCTATATCCAAGAGGCTGCAGAAGGTAAGATCTAAGGAAACACTACCCCTGCGCCAGGTGGGTCTCCTCCTCCCTTGCCCATTTGGGGCCTGCCCGCCCCAGGGCCAGAAGCTGAGTCCTGGACAGCATGTCCCAGGATTTGTCCCAGCAGATCGGGAGCATGAGTTCCCAAGGGTAAACACAATGGAAAATGAGTCTCCAGGGCCTAAGGGTGGAAAACAAAACAGAGATTCCATGATCACAGCTGGCCTGGGCCTGCCTTCTTCCTACCTCCCTGGGAAGCACTAGTCAAGAACAGACCACCCTGTAAAATGAGAACTTGGCCTGCTTAGCACAAGAAGAGACATGCCTTCCTTACCACAGTCCTGTGATGGCAAACCTAGCAATGGCCATGGTCACATGTATGTGCAGGGCCCACTCATGATGAAACTGCTCCCAGGGATTCTTGCTACTGGCACTAGCCATGACCAGAGCTGGCTTCATTCACTCTCAGATCCTGGCCTGACCACAGAACAAGGGAGCAAGGCACTTCCCAGAATCCCCTCATGGCCAGAGGCCCATATGTGTGGTGGGAGAGATAAGACAGGCTTCTGCCTTGCTGCCCCACTGACCCCCATCTGCCCCACAGAACCCTGATGCCAACCCCCGTCCAACAGCCCAGGACCTGGCAGGGTTCTGGGACCTGCTGCAGCTGTCCATTGAGGACATCAGCATGAAGTTTGATGAGCTCTACCACCTCAAGGCCAACAGCTGGCAGCTGGTGGAGACCCCCGAGAAGAGGAAGGTGAGCATGGAGCAGTGCGGAGGGGAAGTCCAGGGACAAATTCCTGGTCGGCAATAACGCTGCCCACATCGGTCAGTGCTGCTTGGCTCCCTTCTCCCTGTGTCGTCTTTGAGCTGGGGCTCACGTCCATCACTTTGCGGGGTCCATGCCTGGCACCTGTCCAGCATGCTGCTCGCTGTAGAGTGGAGGCTGTCCCCAAAGCATGCCATTGTGCTCTGCATGTCTAGTAAAAGGGGTCACAAGTGCAAGTGGAAAAAGCAGAATGGCCCTTCCTTGTCCTGGGGCCCTGTTGTCAGAGGCACTGGGGTCTGGCCCAGTGCTGCCTCCTTGTGGCAGCTATGCTTCTGTGAGGCTTGGGTGGCCTCCTGTGGAGCAGTGGAGCCCAGGGCCTGTCATGTTGGACCGTGGCCCTGGTGAGTTACCATCCAGGGACTGCATGTGAAATATGATGGGTTAGAAGGACAGCTGAAGTCACTACTGACCTGTGCCTCAGGTTCCTCCTAATGGTTCACAGCAAGGGTGGGAGCAGGTGGGACTGTCCTCCTCTTCTGCTAGAGCACTCCAAGAGTCTAAGCTTGCTTTTTGCTCCTAAGCTGTGTGCTACTCCCACTATCATTGCTTCTGTGGCTTTCAGATTCTTAATACGTGTTGCTTGTGCCAGTCTGGTGTGGGGATGCAGAGGGGGCAGTGCCAGCTGCCTGCCTTCAGTAAAGGGCAGTGCCACACACAACGTGGCACCTTTATTTTATTTTTGTTCCCTCCTCGATGTCTCACTAAAGGAAGAGAAGAAACCACCACCTCCGGTTCCGAAGAAGCCAGCCAAATCCAAGGCGGCAATGAGCCGCGACAAAGCCTCAGACGCAGGGGACAAGCAGCGTCAGGAGGCCAGAAAGAGACTCCTGGCAGCCAAGCGAGCAGCGTCTGTGCGGCAGAACTCAGCCACAGAGAGTGCGGACAGCATCGAGATTTATGTCCCTGAGGCCCAGACCAGGCTCTAAGGCCACAAAGGAGAAAGCACTCAATTTTAAATCATTAAAAACTCAATGCAAATGGAACAGCGTTTTCTCACCCTTTAGTATGGTTATTATCTCTAGAGACCCTGAGCCAACTTTCCAATTGACACAAACAAGGGCTCACAATGTGGCTTTTCTGGGTCCCTCCAAGCTTTAGGTTATGAAGACTTGACTCACAAAAACAAAAAAAAATTTAAATACCACAATCTAGCCCCTTTTCCCTTTGGGCTGCCATGGCGGACAACAACAACTTGGACAGCCCTGGCCTGGCCTCCAGATTGCAGTCTTTTTACTTCTGTCTGCTGGGGACTAGCTTGTTTACAGGACGACGACAGTCCACGGCAGCCTTGGGCCCCTGCCATGCCCCTCCCTTCCCAACATCCCACGGCTTTTCTTTTCCTTTCAGAGCTCACACAGGGGTCACCACCGTGGCCAGTAGCTTTCTGGTTCATACCCTTTGGGGCTGAGGGCACAGAGGACAGAAATGGGCAGCACTCCTCCCTCTCCCCAGCCTCCCCGCTAAGTGCTCACACACTGTCGGCCCGCGCACACAGATGAGGTGCCCGCCCTCCGCTGCCATCCAACTGCCTTGGCAGTGTCAGGCTGGACTGGCCTCTGAGCAGACGAGAAAAGTGATGGTCCTTGGAGCACGTGTGGGGAAGCCATGGTTACCGTGCTCCAGCCCCTTCAGAAAATTCAGGACTCCCAAGTGGCTTCCAAGGAGTTGTCTGTCATTGGCCGCACCTTTGTCCAGTCCCCCCTGGGACAGGTGGCGGTGTCTGTACGTATGTGTACATATGCACATAGACCTTAGAGTGTATATTTAATAAACGCCCATCTGCTCACCCAAGCCCACCAGCGCCGCTGCCACCGGCTCTTGGGGTACCTGCAGGAGGCGGGTGTGTGAATAGCATATATTTTTACATGTACTATATCTAGGTGTGTGTACAAGTGTGTGTAAAAATATGCCTTGTGTGTAAGCAGCCCCCCTTTTTTGGTTGTCCACCCAACCCATCAGCCCAGCCTCTTGTTTTTTATTCTGTTGTAATTTTCATCCCAATCTCTCCTGTCCCCCACTTCTATACTCCTATTCCCAAGGTATTCTGAGCCCTGAGCTGCAAAGGCCTAGGCCCACAGAGCAGGATGGGGAGGGCAAGGCTGGGTCAGGCCACCTAGAGGGGGTCGGACCCAGCAGATGATTTGGCATACCAGGGGCTGTTCCATGCTGTGGGTATGACTCAAGGGCATTGGGGACATCCTTTTGTCTGGCGCGTGCTGCAGGGGTCCCCTGGGTCCCCCAGGTGAAGCAAGGCCTGCTCTAGGGGCCTGTTCTAGCTTGGCCGCCCCCTCTGTGACCTTGGGCAAGTCACTTGACCTCTGTGTGCCTCAACTTCCTCCTCTGTAAAATGGGGACAGTCCCTGCCCCTCCCTACCTCACAGGCATGTAGTGAGAATAAATGAGGTAACGTGTACTAAGGGCTCCTGGCGTCATTGCAGGGTGGAGGCGGGGCTAAGGAGAATGAATGGCAGATGGTTCCAGGAAACCCAGTCAGACACACACCACCACCACAAGGCAGCTCTTAGGAGACAAGGTGTTTGAGGGCATCAGTTAACTTCAGCTCAGTGTCCTAAAGACATTGATGCACCATCCGGTTCCAAGGAACAGCACACTTCCTATAAAAGGGAGGAGACAAAGACCCAGCCTGCGCACATCTGTCAGGGCAGGGGTGTGTCATGACCCCCAGCAGATGCCCTCTTAACAATCTAGGCCATCCAGTGTATTAGGGAATGTGCTCTGCCGTGCCAGGGGAGAGCTGCATGGGCTGCCCCAGAGCTCACCAGGAAGCAAGTGTGGTGTGGACCAGCCTCAGTCTGACACGGCAGGAAGCATGATGTGGAAGAAAGGGGCTGCATGGGGTGGTCCAAGCCAGGTTCGGGGAGGTAGAGGCCATGGGGTCGGAAAATACTTAAAATGTCTTTGGGCCATGCCCTACAGACACATAATTATTCCTCCCTTGACCCAACCCAGCCAGGATACCTGTGACTCCAGGCCCAGGGACAGATCCATTCCCACCATTTCAGGAGCTTGACCCCAGCCCTTATGAAACCCCAACTATAAATAGATCCCTATGCTTAAAATGGCTGCCCTCTGCCTGGGATCCCAACATGCCTTCCGAACGGCAGTGACCGTGCTGGGTCCACATAGCGCTTTCCTTCACCTACCCCCCCCAGCCAGGATAAGTGGGTTCCTGTTGTGTAGGACTAAGCTGACGTCTGCATCCAGCATTGAAGCAGCCCTTAAGTGAGCGCTGAAAGAGGCCAGCCATGTGGGATGGCGGCCAGACACAGCCTCTCGACAGATCTGGCCTGGGGAAGGCTCTTGGAATCAGAAGCAAAAGGGGTGGGAGAGTGCAAATGTGGGGTTCTACACCTAGACAGCCTAGTGCAGTGCTAAATGAACCCTCCCAAAATCCACCTGCACCTCCTGAGAACAAGGGCAATTTCTCCCTGGCCACAAAACTGATAGGACCCTCAGGCAAATGAGCAGGCAGGTCTCTCCCTTACCCAGCATCCTGCGGGTGATCCAAGCCTGGTTCCCCCTCACTCACCCCTGATCCATTGGAGTCCAGTTAGGGGCCCTTGATGCTTTTAGTTACCAGGTTTTTCTAGTCTGAAGGATCTACAGCAGCTGTCCCACCTTCCTTTCAGGTTTTGTGACAGCGATTAAAGTGCCCAAGAAGCTTACAGGCTGTCCCTTGGTTTTGTTTTTTTGAGACAAGGTCTCACTATGTAGCCCAGCCATAACTGTGATCTGACTCTGCCTCCCGGTGCCAGGACGGCAAGCACCCATCACCCTGCTGCTCCTCTTTCCTGTCTGGACTAAAATGAGCAGTTCTGACAAGAATACGACGTAGACAATGCCCCACCCACCTCCTTGGAGCCGCTCCATCAGGAAGCAGTGACGGCAGCTGACTGGGCTTCTGGGATTCAGTGACAAAGTGGAAGCAGTAGAGAGTTTCCCTGAACACCACACTTTGGGCAGGCATTGCCTTGACTAGGTGGCCACAGTGCAACACTGCCAGCAATGGAGACTTCTATTTGGCATTTCTGACCCAATGCTCCGAGGGGCACGATGTTCTGCTGTGGCCTTGCAGTCAGTGGGAAATGCATCTGACACGCCATCTTACCGAGCTGAGTCCAACCCACAGAAAGAAGGGCGCTTCTGAGACTCGCGCTGATTTCCACATGCGCTGTGGCACCCCTGTAACCACGCGTCCACACACCCCCCACAGAATCCCCACGTGTCCGCCCACACACACCCCCACGCGCCCACACGCCCGCCCACACACACCCACGCGCCCACACCCACACCCACGCGCCCACCACCCACGCGCCCCCATACACACCCACGCGCCCACACACACACCCACGCGCCCACACACACACCCACGCGCCCACACCCACACACACACCCACACACACCCACCCACACCCACACACACACAGGCGCCCACACCCCCCGACGCACCACCCATCCACGACCACATACACCATGCACACAATGATGAATAAAACAATAAAAATAAAAATAGGGGCCGGGCATTGGTGGCGCACCCCTTTAGTCCCAGCACTCGAGAGGCAGAGGTCTGGTCTCCAGAACGAGTGCCAGGATAGAATCCACAGTTACACAGAGAAACCCTGTCTCGAAAAACCAAAAAAAAAAAAAAAAAAAAAATGTTGCCACCGCCACAACAAAGCTCAGGAATAAGACCAGGGTGTGTCCCCTCTCCTCTTCTGTAACAGGGGACTGGAGGTTTCAGCCAGGGCCATTAGGTAGGGCAATGGTTTTTATATTAATGTAAATAAATAGTCTCCAGATTGGAAAGAAACAAAATCACCCAAACTACTTCTGTCTCTACATAGTATGATTTTCACATAGAAAACCCTGAGGTTATCTGTGAAAGAACTGTTAAATGGGTGACTTCATGAGTTTGCTAGTGCAACATCTATAAACCTATCTCAGCTGCACGTGGTAGACGTGCCTAGGATCCCAGCAGCAGGAGGCAGACAGGAGACCCACCGAATCACCTCTGTGCACACACTACTGGGAATGATGTCCTGTCTCTGACCATGCTTCCTGGTGCAGTGTGCCTGAAGCTTCCAGACTCTCCTATATAGTAAGAATATCTTGTGTGCTCAAGGGATGACTGGAAGCTGAAGACAGGAACTCTGTCACCAGGAAGACATGCTTTGCGGGTTATTGACTCCAGCTCCACTCCTGCAGCCTCTGGGAGTGAATCAAGCTGCAGATTAAATGCAGCACCAATGGCCAGTGGTTTGGTCAACTGTGTCTATGCCACAGGCCCTCATAAGGAACATGACAAGTAAGGGCTGGCTGAGCTTCTAGACCAACGCACAATGCATGCAGTACACCTGGAGAGCCCATGGCAGCCTCACGTACCCTCACCCCAGCATCATGCCCTGTACATGTCTGCAGGGCTGTCCCAACTATGTCCTTTAGAATGTACAAATAAGAGTGCAGGTACTTAGCCTGTGTCCTGTGAGACACTAGCAAATTAGTGATCTAGGGGTATGTTCTCTTAGGAACCCAGGATTTGTAACTAGGTTGGAAAGATGTGAGGATAACCTAGGACCTAATAGTTATAATGCATCTATGGCACATGGGCAGGCTCAGGGCTAAGAACCTAAACTGTAGCATCTTATCCACTGTCAAGAAAGTCAG